AGGCCCAGCACTCTTTCCTGCCTGTGCAGGGGGTCGGACTCGATGATCTATTGAGGTCCCTTCCGACCCTAACATCTATGAATCTATGAATCTATGCATAAAGATGTATCACTCTGCATTAAGAGATAGCTTGTAGCTTGGAAATCCAGTCTCTGGATTGTGTGATATTGCATTCTGCAAATGTATATTCCTCTTCTCAATTGCAATAAAAAAAACCTGCTGCATCGTAACATTGGTCTTCAGGTTTTTCTTTCCCCTCTAACCTAATTGTACAGACCAAAAAGCATAATCCAAAATAATTGTCCCAAGCGTACATGTATCTTATGGGAATGAAGAGGAAGAAGATACCAGTACAGTGTCTAATCTAGAGGGTGGAAAACCTACTTCCCCGCAGACTGTCCTAATAACCAAGCCACGGGAGAGGCATAGCTAAATGCAGCTGCTGCTGCTGTTGCTAAAGCTGGCCAAAAAAGGAAGGCAAGCCAGGAGAGCAACTTGGAGGAGTTGTAGCACTATTAATGGACAAACAACAGAGCTGGGAGGGGGCCCTGTGTTCTGCCCCTACCCCTGTCCCCCATCAGACCCATGTGTCCATGCAATAGTGAGTGGCTAAAATGAATGGGAAGCACTTGGGTGGTTTCTGCCCTGTTAATTGGGGAAGGGGCAGGAAGCAGTGGAAAGGCCAGAAGCCAGGATCTGTGCTTGCTCAGGGCAGTGGCCAATTTACCAAGCCTAATCCAAGCCTTTCTAATGGCTCATGAACACAAATGGGGCAAATTCACAAGCTTCAGGACATCCAATAACTTCTTATTAATATAATCAGATTATATCTGTTTGGATGAGATGGGTATTGTGAGACTGCGAGGGAGTTGCATACAGCCCAATGGAGCTAAGCTGCTCTGACCAGCAACAAGGCAGCATTGTGGACTTTCAAGGGAAAGAATGAGGAGCTGCAGGGAAGAAAGTTTAATGAATCCAGGGAGGCAGAAACAGGAGCTGGGGGTGCTGGAAGGTCAGTGCAGGGCACTGCTGCAGGAAGGCAGCCAGACAGGCCTAGACTGAAGCACTGCACATCAACAGCTGGTCCCAAAGCAACAAGGAGCTTTCCTGAGACCCCAAGCTAGGAGAGAAAGACAGAGACAGAAAGAGACATATTCAGGAGGTGTTTGTCAGGAGGGAGGGGAAAGAAAGCCAGACCAAAGGGAGGGGCAGGGGGATGGGAGCTGAAACACAGCCAAGATCTCTAGACAATATTATAACAACTCCTTGCCGTCCTGGCAATGGCAGGACATTGACAGTGCCCTCATGCCCTCACTTGACCTGTGCCAGAATACTGGGTGCTTTGATGTTTTGGAAACTGTGCTGGGTGCTTCTGTATGGGGTTTTCCCCAAAGTATTTAGGAATAACAAAGACAAACATTTGTCTAGAACAGGTTTGGCAGAGGTCATCCATTTTCTTGGATTTTAGCAAGGCCTTTGATACAGTATTTCATCTCATTCTCATAAATAAATTAAGAGGCTGTGACAGATTTCTACACCATCTGGTGGGTGGAAAATTGGCTTAGTGGTCGCACCCAGAGAGTGGTAGTAGATGAGTCAGTATCAACCTGGAAGGATATGGGTAGTGGGGTCCCACAGGGTTCAGTCTTTGGACCTATACTTTTCAATATCTTCATCAGTGACTTGGATGTGGGTGTGAAGTGTACTCTGTACAAGTCTGTGAAT